GGCGTCCCTTTATTCGCTTTTAATACAAACTCGTTGAGCTTCTCTTTCAAACGTTGCGCTTTTTAGCATTGTTGCTGTAGGTGATACGATGATGCAGAAAAGAATTACTTATTTTTATTCCTATAGAAACCTTGCTATCGTTATTATAATATATCGGGGAATATAATACGTTGTTGGTTTAAATTTTATTTCCATATTTCCAGTCGCTGTATCGCATTTATTATTTTTTTTCTTTTTTTTTCATCGATGGATAAAATATATATTTTTTTCTCTATACGATCAATGATAGAGATTCGAAATACCGTACCAAGCTTGGCGACCGAGTGGCTCGCTCTTCCCTTTTTTCCGATTCAATGATACGCGACTGTCATTTACACACTTCTGCCATTTCGTTGCGCAAACATGCCTATTGTCGAAATAGCGAAATGGCACTTCTGCCAGGCGCGTTTGTTCGAAGAGGAATACGAGCACATTCTTGCATCGAGCTGAATTTTGTTATTCTTGCGATGGACGTGTTACTCTTCTGGACCATTTTCAAATACAGTTTAATTTAGAGATACATATGTGTGAGATATAGAAAATTAAATTCAATTTATATATAAATATTCATGGAAGTTATGTTAATTTATATAATGATTCAATTTTTATAGGACCGATTATTATTGTGTTATATCGGTTTTTTATCAATTTAGACTAAGTATTTATTCTTTTTTGGTACGCAAACTTTTTCCTAGTATTGTACAAAGTATCTACGTGTTTCCAACCATGCATATGCCGCAAATTACATTTTTGATTGATTTACAACATTAATTCTCGAGTGTTACTCGCGGATGACTCGCGTGCGGCCGCGAAAAATATGTTGCGGCGATTTTCAGCCAGATACGTTTCGATTAACAGAAAAATTGTTTCCGTTTATTTTTATTCTGCCTCGTTTGTCAGAGTCATCGTATTTTTTATCACCCATGCATTTCGCGCGTACTAATATCACTCTCTAAATACGTGTGTAGCACTTTGGGGCACAAATGTTTTCCATATCGCCGAAAATATTTTTAATACAATCTCGGATAGAAAGCTTGCGATCGTTACATTTTTTAAATTGTCTCCCTGTAAAATTATCTCTCTTGTGTACTATACAATTATTTATATTGCAGAAATGTACGCGTTTTTTTTTTTTTTTTTTTAATCATCATTTGACATCAAAATTGTTCAGAATTTGACGAATTGCCACAAACCGGATAGACGGGGGTATTTCCGCGCTCGCGTAATCCTGACACGACACACAAATTACGAGCCCATCCATCCATCCATCCATTCATCCATCCATCCGATTACCCTCCTCGTAGGTATCTTTTCCCGCCCACGTAAGTGCAACTCCCACTCGCGTGCGATGCAGCGCGGAAATCGCGTAAGCCACCGTCAGATCGTCGCAAGAGGATGGGGCAGGGGTGCGGGAAAGAGGGAACAGAAGCGTAAAGATATGCACCCTCGCGAGCTCGCTATGAAATAATCATATGGTTAGCTAATGGCGGCCTCCGGGGGTAGCTGCAGAGTAGTCCTCTCCCTATCTTCCGCCGCGGAACGTGGCCGGGGGGAGGGGAGGGGGGGATGAGGGGATAATAAATAAATTCGATATATTTGTGCCTCGAAGCCCCCCCGCAAACATTCAATGATAGATCGCAATCTCGGGTTTGGCGGGCGCCGCCCTCCCCCCATTCCCCTCCCCTCGCCCCTCTCCTGCTTCCCGAGGCGAAACGTGCGTGAAGATCGGGACATGGGATCTTTCTTGGTTGGCGAATCGCCTCGACATTCTCGTCGCGTACGAAAGACGCGTCGGTGAATAACAGATTAAGGAATATTCCGAGATAACTCTCTAAATTGCCCTCTGCTAACTGCATCGCTAATTGAAGAACTAATCAACGGTATTTTTAAAATAATACTATACTTTATACTAATCGTAGGAATATAATTATAAATGAGATATTCTTGATATTAATGTTTATGACATGATAATCAAATATGTTCTTAAAGTTTGAAGAAATTGTTTAAAGTCTTATATTAATTTGGAAATATATATTTGTATTCTTTTGTGTGGAATAATATTTGCGTATTATTGTTTTCGTAAACTTTTATGGTTTTTTTTTCTTTTTGTTGGATATTAAAAACTTTGATGAAATCTTTGAAACATTTGATTAATTTCCTGAGTAACTGCAACTATGCTCGCATCATAAATTGTGCGTATAGAGTGAAAGCAAGCTTTCAAAGTTCTAATATTTACCTAAGCGTTAACAAATTTTCTCGATATAATTTCCCAAATCGCGCGTAACACGATTTGAAACAGATAATAAAATCATATATTTTAGTTACAATCTTACAGGGAGTAAATTTCAACGAAGATTAAAATTCAACTACACACAGAAAAAAGGACATTCTTGTTTTGAAAATTTTTAACATGGAATCTCGAAATGAGATTATATCGCGTTAATTAAAGAAAAATATAATTGCTTACTTGAATAAAACCATTTTATATAGTTCAATCAAGAAAAATATATTCTTATGATTTAAGATTTAATTTTCTTGAATGGAAAAGAAACAATGTTGGATAGAAAATAACATTTTTAAATCCAAGATTATAATTTTCTTAAAGTAGAATTAAATAATTATATATTCTTGAGATGACAATTGCAATATTAAAATAAGACTATAACATTGTTGAAATTTAAAATTATTAAATTCTTCTAAGAAGATTATAAATTGTTGCGTATATACGAAACAATGTACGCGTTATTTAATATTTTTTTTCTGTGCAGAGATGTATTTAATATTGAGATTCGGGAAACGACGATGATCCTCCTCGATATTTTCGCTGCGAGAGATATTATCGTCAAATTGGCTCGTCTGCGGTTTACGAGACACCCCCTCGTCTCAGCTAAATCGACTGACGTACCGCCTCAATTACATGATTATGAAAGTATGATTCAATGTTTCGGGTCGCGCGGAAGAGTGAGTAGAATCACCCGGATCGGAAGGACTTATTCCACCGGGTTAAGAGATTAAGCGATACTACTATTCACGACGCGCGGTGACTTTCACGCATGTAATCCCACGTGGAGAGTGAAACGGAAGAGAGGAGAGGGTGCGAGATAGTGAGAGAGAAAAAAAGAGAGGGGGAGGAGAGGAAGAGAAGAGATGACTACTCGCCCATCCGAAATTATTGTATTCGAAGACGCGGTCCCCCTCGTCCCAACTCCCAACTGTCGCCCTGTCGTTGCTGCAGGTTAAGGGGCAGAGGGTGAGTCGGGACAGAAGGGAGAGGGGGAGAGGAGGGGGTTGTCGTGTAATCACGCGCAGAGGCGAGCACGCGATCATGTCGAGCGATTCTAATCCGCGCGACGCGATCATTTCGCTGCATTTTATTAGCGAATTTGTTCGACCCCAGGGCAAACGTATATCGGCGGTTCGTGTTCGCCCATTGTATCTCTCGCTTCGAGAGGAGCTTACGGAGGTCTTAGGTATCTCGCCCGTCGCGTTTATCGACGACGAGAGAACTCTCGCGCGGTGGAAATCGCGCCAAGATTCCGAGCCAAAAGCGTGAAATTTCAGGGGGTTGTAAATATTTACTCCTTCCGGGATCTCGCACTTTTCAACTTGCTTTACTATTTTCGATGGAAACGCGAACATATCGGCATCGACGCGAATTTCAATTTTCAACTTTCTGAAAGTGTCGCGATTGCAACCCCTTCGCGCTCAATCGGGAAACGCTGGTTAACGTAATGTTTCTCGGTGAACCGATAGAAAAAAAGAGAAAGAGACAAAGAGAGAGAGAGAGAAAAAGAATGCGGGATTAGCTTGCAGTTATGATTAGACGTGACAGTTGGCCTTCCACGGCATCGAAGGGCAGCGCTTTCTCTCTCTCTCCCTCTCTCTTTTCCTTTTTTCCTGTCGTGTATATTATATATTCCAATACTCATTGACGCGAGCGCTCCGTCTGTGTGCGTTTCTGCCGAAGAGGGTCGAAGGGGGCGGCGATAATACGCGCTGACAGGCGCGCACCCCCTCGGGCTTGCGCGGCCGCGAAAGGGGATGTTGCCTGCGAGAAAGGAAAACATATACATACAACCCGATAGAATGAGCATCGCGTGCGCCGACGCTTGCTACTCTCCCAATCCCCCTTCCCCCCGCGGCCCCCGCGGCCCCCCTCGACTCCCTTTTACACCCTTCGTGCTCTTCTCGCGTTCTGGCCGCACCTCCCTTTTCTCTCTCTCTCTCTCTCTCCCTCTCTCTCTTTCTCTCTCTCTCTTCTCTTTCTTTCTCTCGACGCGCACGGAATTACACACCGATGTTATAATCCTCTCGTGTTACGCCATCGCACATGCTGTCCTGTAAGCAATACATTGTTTTTTTTTATCCGGTTCCCTCCCCAGCATCCATATGCACGGCACTTTGCTGCCGTATGATCGCTCGGTGATCGACGAGCGGCGATTGTCAAGAGAGTAGGTACCGTCGAAGCGGGATCCTTAGTCGATTCGGGGGTCGACGGCCCGTTGGTGCCGCGTCTGAATATCCAATTGCTCGTTTCTTTTCAATTAGAAACAGGCGTTCCTGCGTTTTTACGCGTCAAAGATACGAACGTTCTATCTGCACGAGATCTATATTATTTATTAATTCTGAATCCGTTTTTATTTTCAGATATCAAAGTTATATAATTTTCACGTATCATTTACGATTTATTTAAAATTTTACATTCTTTTTGAATTTTTAAATTTATTTTTTCAACTTTTTACATTTATTAAAATTTTTTTAAATTGATTTTCTAAAATAATGATACATAATTCCCTCTAATCCCTAATGAGATCAGAGTTTTTAACAGAAATTTTGATGGGATGAATTTTTTCGGCGTCCTTATCCTCGACATACATATTTCAAAAATATCAAAAAAGAAAACCATCTCTTCTCTCTCGAACTATGCGAGTAATGCGCGTCGATTCTTTCGTGTGCTTCAGATATCTGGTAGCCGGTGGCTTAGTGGATCGCGTGTCACGTCACAGCCGGGCCCTGATCGAGACAGATTTTTTCCTGGATCAGGAGCACGAGTCGCCGTTGCTGGTATCGTCTTACGATCTCATCGCGCGTATCTGCGGCCATCTGAGGCGGTCCGCCGATCAAGATAGTGTCAACGGCGAGGGAGGCGGGGGCGGAGGCGGCAGCAATGTCGAGCAAACAAGCAACGAGTCGCACTTGCTGTCGACTTTATCGGCGACCGAGGCCTCGGGCGCGATCGGCGCCCTTTACGCGGCGGTCGCCTTCACGCCGCAGAATCAGAAGGGTGGTGCCTCGCCGACGCCCAATCACACATTCACGACCTCCGTAAGGACGCTGGCCAGCCGCAGTCTCAAGCTCCTCAAGTCGATCGCGGAACTCGATCTCCGGAAACTACAGGTATTGCCTTCGCATCTCGCGCGACTCTTCTTTATGAATTAATGAGGTCGAAAAAAGATGTTGAAACCGAGCATTTCGAATATCAATCTATTTAATTGAATTGAAAAATTTTGCTTCTATTTTAACTCTATTTTTTCACTCACTTTTTATAGATTCTGGAGAATTTTGATAGGTTCCATTTATATGGAAATTGTATTGCTTTTATTTTGTAAATAGACATTAATAAATAGCTGTCCATTTAGATTTATAATAATAGAAGAGCTTTTTGAGTAAAATTTAAAAAATAAAATAAAATAAATTAACTTAATTAATTAAATTAAATAGTTTCAAAACAGAATAATCTTTAATTGTTTTTAAAATAAATCAAAGTAAATAAACATTCCGTGAGTTAAAAACATTGAGATTGAAAGTAGAAGAGAAATTTTACGACTTGATACATCTACTATTTATACATATACTATTTATACATATTGAGTATATCTCATTTTCAATAATATTGTTTTAAATTAAAATTTAGAAAAACTTTTAAATTCATACAGAAGAGAACTAAATGCATAAATTATGAATTTTTAATGAATAAATTAAGCGATTCAAGTTTTTAATTGTTAATTTTTAACTGCTGAGAATTAGACTTATTATTACTAATTTTTATCGCATCTCTTCTAATATTACCGAATAAATTAGCGGTTATTAATTTTCGACGTTTCTTTGACGGATCTCACACATTTTACATTTGGATATCAATCGTTTTAATAAAGGCATAATCTGCGATTAAAATTCTGATATAAACGTTATAATTCGATGCGGTCTATATTAATATAAATAATAATTACTGCGATTATCTTAAATAGATATTGCAATTTTGAGTGCGCGTTATTATAATTCAATCGATTCTTTCGATTTGTATTATCTCTCTGATTTTCATGATCTTTCTGATTTTGTAATCTTCGTCGATTACACAGAATACAGCCGTATTATTCCGCTCTAATTTCGGTGTGTACCTTTCCTAGGCGTCTCTCACGCTAAATACGGCGCAAGTTTAATTTCGAAGTTTCTCTCACCCGTGACGAGAAATCCAGGGTATAAATCTGGCCGACGCCAGCCAGCCATGTTTTAAGCATTTAATTACGCGATGAAAATTACCTCGTTCTACTTTAAAATACTTCTTGAAACAATTTTAATCATCGATGTTTAATCTCGGACTATTTAAGGAGAGCTTACATATATATATATATATATATATATATATATATATATATACAGGGTGTCCTAGACCATCCGTACACCCCTTTTCTTTCAAAAACTAAACATTTTAGAGAAAAACGTTTTGGACAAAAATTGTATGGTTTTGAGGGGAACATAAGATGGTGTCATTAGTTTGATCTTGGATGGCATCGTTAAGGTCAGATCAAGGACACCTTTAATTTCTTAAATGGAACCACCTATTTTTTATTGCATATTCTTGTAGCTTATGTATATCGAGAGCTTTCCAAAACACTATAATAAAGTATTTTTTCATCGAGTACTTTTCGAGTTATGAGGCTTGCAATAATTTTTTAATTTTACATAAATCGTAAAATATCTTGTAAAATATTCATTTTTCGATTATCTTACCTTAATACTTTTATGTACAAAATAATGAGAGGAATCAATTAGTGTAAAGAAAACACATAATTGTTTCGAAGAAAAAATATGTAATTTGCAATTAACAATTACATATTGTTTCTTAAAAAACAACTGTGTGTTTTCTTTACACCAATTGATTCCTCTCATTATTTTGTACATAAAAGTATTAAGGTAAGATAATCAAAAAATGAATATTTTACAAGATATTTTATGGTTTATGTAAAATTGAACAATTATTTCAACCCTCATAACTCGGAAAGTACTTGATGAAAAAATACTTTATTATAGTGTTTTGGAAAGCTCTCGACATAAGCTATAAGAATATGCAATAAAAAATAGGTAGTTCCATTTAACATCATCTTATGTTCCCCTCAAAACCACACAGTTTTTGTCGAAAACGTTTTTCTTTAAAATTAGTTTTTGAAAGAAAAGGAGTGTACAGGTGGTCTAGGACACCCTGTATATATATACATATACATATGTAGGAGGTGGCTGTAGGATTCATTATTCTTTAATTTGCCACGCTCCACGATTTGTCAGGATCTTTCCCCTCCCCTCCTCCCTAAGGCATCGGCTCTCCAAATGACAACGATGCCGCTTGTTGCCGTCAACAATGCGGCTTATCGTCGGAGGGCATCGAGCGGATGATGGAGATATCGTGTATCGCTAAGGGATGAGGGGGGGTTATTCGCCTGCCTGTCAAGACGCAAAGGGCCTCCCGTGAAGTTCTCTCGCAGCGAGCTAACCGCGAATTGAATCGGAACGGAGTCTCGCGCCCCTTCTCGTCCGAACGAAACCATAAAGGCTCTCTATTCTGTGCCCCGCGGGAGGGCACCCTCCCCTCGGGTCCCGCGGGAGCGTCCGTCGATTATCCCGCGCGGTCCAGATGAGCCCCGACTAGGTTCGCCAAAAACCAAACGCCTATTATCCATTCTCTTTGCTCCGGCTCCTCTCCCGATGCGGTTTCGATGCCGTCGACAAAGTTCCGCGATCGAGCTCTCTCGCCGTCTTAGATTTCAACGCGCTTAAACGATCGCCTTAAAGGGGGAATCGCTAATTTAGGATGAACGGCGGAATTATAGAGATATACTATTAAGTACGTTACACTGAAAAAATTGTATTCTCAACTTAAGAATATGCCACTTATCTTTAGAATATACACTAAAATAGGCGCCAAGAGGAGATCCTCTTGGCGCCTATTTTAGTATATATTCTAAAAATAAGTGGCATATTCTTAAGTTGAGAATACAATTTTTTTCAGTGTATGTTCACGTCGGATTCACGCGTAAGCCGATAAAAGCTGTAATATTGTTAAGAAGGATCTATTTTATTTTTAAAAAATTCACGATGCGCACCTGACTCTTGTTGCAGAGCTTCCTGGGCGCCGAAGTTACGAGTCTGCAATGGCGATTGATAGCGAGCCATCTGATAACCCGACTGTCTCGCGATTCTTTGTCGGACAAATTGGAAATGGGATCTATGCCGGATACAAGCGGCATTCACATTCTCTCGGAGCTATTTGTGGTACTTGGCTACTTCGCCCTCAACAATCCAGACAATCAGGTACGCACTATTCACATATCACAATCGATCATTTCGAAAAGAGGACTGGACGAGAGAGAAAATATCTTTAATATTTGGGGGAATTTGCTATTGAATTAAAATTAATTTTTTTTTTGAATTTATAAACTAAAAATATCGCTTCGAAATATCCCTATTTTATAGTTAGAAAAGAATTATTTTGGATATCCCCAAAAAAAAATTAGAAAAGAACTGCATGTTCTTCTTGACATCTAATGACATCATTAATTTTGATTTTTTTATGTAAATTATAATTTTAATTTAATTTTTTATATTTTAATAATTAATTTTTTTATATAAATTAATGCCTTCATTTTTTAATTTATTTTTAAAATATTAAATATATTTAAATTTTATTATCTTTTTCGTACGTGTCATTAAATGTAAAAGAAGCGTAACTTGTCGAAAGTATTTTTCATTTTTGACGTTATATAGCATATAACTTTAATCGCCTTAAGTTCTTCGAGTTGCGGCGGATTTCCTCGACTGTAATACCTCGAATTACCCGGTACGTTCGCGTAAAATGAACGCGCTGGATGGCATTACCTACCCGAACAACAAGGAGGAAGGAGCTGTTAGACACAACACACTCAGCAGACCTCCTATCAATATGCGGCCGAACGCCGTTAAGATATATTTACGGCGTTTCGTTCCATACATACGTCTCGTGACGCGTGCACGTGCAGTGCCGGCTCATCAGTTCGCGATGCATCGCGTGAAAACTCCCAATAAATAATCGTAATGCGATTTGGAAAATGAGAGCATCGTCGAACATGAAATTGGACATATTTAAAAAGAAACAAAATAATTATAAACTAAAAACAAGCGATTTTTTTCAAAATAATACCAAAAATTTGTGTTAAGAAATAATATAATAATAGTATAATAAATCAAATAAATTAAGAAATATACGATGAATCATTATTAAATAAATCATTATATAATATATAATAAATCATTTTAAATAAAGCTTCTTCAAGTTTTTAAGTACGAAGTTATTGTTTATATCTAACTAATCTAATTTAATTTTGATTAATATTGTAATTAATATTGCTAATTAATTTCAATTAAATGAAAAGTATTCAATATAAAAGTTTACTGATTTTTGAAATATTAACATTTGGAAGTTAACACCACGAAAATTAATTAATTTAAAAAAATCACGCTCTTTTAATAATATAACGTTTTTCAATTTAAAGATATTTTTCGCGAAGAATTAAAAAATTAATGAAAATATCGCGATTCAAGACCCATCGTCTAAAAGCGGTCCTGCATCCACGTCGATCCCGCGAATGCGTGAATCGGGATGTAAGTGCTGAGTGCATCGCCGATGTCGCGCATTCGTCTTTCAGCGCTTTTTTAAGGGGCGCTCGCAGGAACGAGAAGAGTCGACCGACCCTCCGAGAGTAGCTGACTCGGGGAAAATCGTCTTCCGCGAGAATAGAGAAAGAGAAGAGAAAGAAAGGGAAAGAGGGAGAAACGAGACGCTTTTAAAGCTCTCTACGAGCATCTGCGGTTATCGCGCTTGACGCGACGTGTGTGTATCCACCTTCTCCGTTCGCGATCATAAACACGTCTCTATCCTCGTTTTTTGTCGACGCCCGTAACCGAATTCGAGAAATGGATTTTTTTTCTTGCGGTGGCGCCGTGGCGTTTTACCACTTTCCGCTCTTATTTTAGGTCCGGAATATTAACCGACTCCTTTTGAAATGACGTGCGCGAACTATCGCACGTATTCTTGCTAATCAATTTTTTCATTATTAAAAAAATTTAATTTTAAGCTACGATAACAAGCCCGAAAACATTTAATTTTAAGCTACGATAACAAGCCCGAAAACATTTAATTTTAAGCTACGCTAACAAAGGGTAAATCGACGTTTAACATGAACAAGATACGGGTTTGACGTCGAACAAGAAAGGTGTACATAAAATGTGGGCATTTCCTGCAAGAATTTTCTGCAGGTGCACAGGAATACAACGTCCTGTTCGCAGAGACACTTGTCATAGACGCAGACGTCCGGTGACGTCTTTTATAGACTTTCTCTCTTTTTCCCTCTCTCGTTTCCGTAACACCTGGGTCATTTAGGTTCTCACGCTCTTTAAGAAAATTACTCTGTCGCTTTAATTAATCGTTCTTGTCACCGCACGTCACGATCGAGAGACTACGAAGGTTCGATATGCGGGTAATTTGTAATATTAAGAGAATCTTCATCCGGTTTTCTCATTTGGAAAGGACAAGCGATTTTGCGAATAGATAATTGCAAAAAAACTACAATCTCTAAAAATTTATGCTGTGAAGTATAATATTTTATAATAATGAAAGCTTAAGATAATATTTAATAAAAAATTAAAAAACAGATTCCTCGGTAATTTTTCTGGTTGATCATTTCTAGTCGTTCTCTTCGATATTTTCTTATCGTTACAGAATTATTAGGAAAGAGAAGAATTAAAGAATAAAGAAAAAAACATCACGTGTCAAGAATAAATAACTAATTAATATAACGTAAAGCTCTGTACAAACAAATGAGAATAAGCTAATAATAAATAACTATCTCGGGAAAATGAAATTTCTGTTTCAGTTGGTTCTTCAATCAGCTGGTGCGGGTCCTAGCGTTCTTCAGCAGTTATGCACTCTGCCATTCCCTTTTTATGGAGATCCCAGATTGTTACCGTACACTTTACCAGCACTTCTAGCCGCTACACATAATAATTCCGAGGCAATGGCGATATTGTCTTGTGAGATGTCATACGAGGTAAGTGGATAATTACAAATATGCAACTTATATAGGAGAGAGAAAGAGAGAGATAATAGTATAACTATAAATTTATCTTAATAAAAATTTCATATTGAACAGATATATCAACTACAATAATTCACGAAATTAAGCAAATGCTTTGAAAATTTTTTTAGAAATTTAATTATTTTATAAATATATTTGTTTTCCTAATATATATATATACGTTAAAGAAAAATTTGTGTATTTGTCCTCTCTCTGTCTTTTTTATATTTTTCGTTAAAAACTCTCATCAAAGTTTCAGCAAACATACAGTTTTTATATTAATTATATCTGCAACTCTTTCTAAATGCAGTCAATTGAATTTTATATTTAAATTAACGAAATATATTAATTAGTTATTTGTGACAAATATACATATATCAGTTTAAATATCTATATTTTTAATATGTAATAATATTAATTTTATATCGCACGTTAAATCAATCTTTTATCCGAATTAATTTAAAATTATTTTTTAGACTTTACCTAAAAATGTTTTATGGATATTATCTTATATTAGCTACATCATATTCATAAATAACATAATTTCAACGTTAATATTTATCCGCTTTCATTATATGCTCTCTACATATTTTTGTCTCCTTTTATGGGTAATAATATTTGACGAATAATTTGCAAATTGGCTTTACAGTTGCTGGAGCAGTACAGGAATTCAGACGAAGGTAAATTAAATCCTTTAGTGCATTTGCTGAAGGATAACGCCTAGTCTGTCTCACGTTTTCCGCCCTAAAAGGTTTGACTAGCTTAATTTTATTTCTTAAAGCTCTCATTAGAGCGATTCTTGTAGTCCGCGCGAATCGGAAATTAGAATTATTGATATATTATTATATCTAAATTTACAGTTGCTTGTTTATTAAAATGAAGAAAAGAGCATAAAGAGAAAATTCAAAGAGATTGCATCAAGAATGAGTAGAGTTAATTAAATTTAAAAATTCGTAACTTTTATTATCACATAACTAGACACTACACGATCGCAATAGTAGAAACTCCCGCTAAGTAAGTTGAATACTCGTGATTCTTCAAGCTCAGGAATAAAACTCAATTTGCGGAGAAAGTTAAATTTACTCGAAAGTTTACGCGAACAAAAAAAAAATAACACGCACGTTAATTTAGACTGGTGCTTCCCAAACCATTTTGGTTCAGTCTATTTGTGGCTGCAACGTACTGATGATACACGCATGATATTTTGCTTTATAGGTTTGCAATCTATAATCGAATTTTCTACACAAAAATTTCCAGAACTTCTGGATTTTGCATAGATCATATTTTAGCGGATATGTTAAATTATTTTAACATTTTAATACATCATGTTTCATAAATTTTATGAGCAAAATTACAAAAAATTTTGTAAATCTTTGGAATTTTTTGGGAATTTATAAAGTATTCATTCAGCGTTTCTCTCGTCGGAATAAAAAAAAACAATTTTTCAAATTTAACGATGAGAAAAACAAGAAATAAATTACAATTTATATTTTGATTAATTGTTCTTTATGAGTAGCCTCGTATCTTGCTTTGTTGAACGTAATTGTGTCTGGAATAATTTATTCCTGCGCATCAGTAACGATCGAAATTACCTGTCACCTCGGCGAACGAATGATGACATTAAATGTCGTCACAACCTCGTTCCCTCCTACCTCTTCTCCGCGATGCTTTAAGGAGATGTATATCGAAATTATCGCATTATACTGAACACTTATCCATAAAGTGTCATGCTGAATAATTTATATTTTTACACACGTTCTAGTAAACAAACGAAGATTACAAATTTAAAAGGATCTGCCTTTTAAAAGAGTTTGACGCGAAAAAACGATGCGCGCGGATTATTTTTAGAGAAGTATCGTTTCGATTAACAAACTTAAAGAGATGAGATGAAGAGATTGTTAAGAAATTAATTTCACGATATTATTTTAAGAGGATATGCTATTATGGGAGGTGTAATCGCGAGAGAAACACGCGGACTATTTGTGAATCTAGTCCTTTTATAATATTAGTAGATTCTATATGCAATCATCGTATACTGCGTATCTACTATATTTTTTACTACCGTCCTCTGCTCCTCGTTTCCACACGTGCCAATCCTATCGTGCAAAAAATGTGTCTTCAAATTGAGCCTTTTTCGCATAATAATCGTTGCGTGACACGGCCCGATAAACGTAGAAAGATGCGTATGTTAATCATGTGAAGTGTGTATCGGGGAATAATAGTCTTTATCTTTGAGCAGATTTCCTCTTTCTTCTCGAGAATCACAAACCTATATTATTTAAAATTAATATCTCTTAGTATCGCGAAATTTAGAGAAATTTTGTAGTTAGGCTATATATTTTGGCGAAATTATTTAAAGAATATTATTTTATTTTAGTTCAGAATGGCGTTAATTATATTATTTATGAATGTTAATGTTAGAAGGTACGAGTTTTCGACTACAGCTGATTAATTCGTGCAATGTCCTGTCAATGCAATTGATATTTAAGTATTATACTGTTAAATAGAATAATGAAAAATGTAATAATTAGCGGGACAGTATTTTCTATCAAACTTGTATTTTTTTTTATACATTTGATTATGAAAGTAATCATGCGTGAAAGACGCGCGTGCGTTCTTTGTCGGAAGTTCCGAATTTCCGATTAAATATTTCAAGAACTTTACATAAATCGTATATTCTATTTTTGCAAAGCAAATAGAATTTATTCAACCACTTATTTCCTATATCTCTATAGGAAAGTTCGTGAAATCTAAATATATACGGTTGTGAAATAAGATAGTTCATGTTTACAACAAAATAAATTTGTCTTCTTGTAGATAGAAAATTTGATGGAAAATATTGCCTTGCTTAACGACTTTTCGAGTCGGTACAGACACATACACAAATAGCAAATATTTAATATCCAGCAAATATTTAACATTAACAATTTGAGTCGAAAAACTCGAGAATCGTAAACATCTCGCGCGTTCGACTTTAAATAAAAAAAATATATATATTAATATTAAAATATATATATGTATATTAATATATATTAAAAAAAAATATATATATATTATATATTTATATATTATATATATTATATATATTATATATATATATATATATATTAAAATATATATATACACTATATATATATATATATATATTATATATATATATATATCAAATATATATATTTTATATATATTAATATATATATATATATTAAAAATATATATATATTTATATTATAATAATAGTAATATATAAATAAATAATGCAAAAATGTTTATTAGAGTCTCTCTTCTGCGAAAAAATTTCATCGTTCGAGTGAATACGTTTCATTTAAGAGGGAGCAATCTCGGCGAAACTTTCGCGCAAATCGATCGATATCGCATAGCATAGAGATATATTCTAGATTCTAGATTAGTAGCTGAGAATTGAATCGCAATGTTTAGTGAGCTAGTTTAGTGGCGTCGCTTTTTCGTCGAATGCTGACTTTGCGAGACACGCAACGTTGTGAGAAACGAAAGAAAAGCGGTATTTTTCTACGATAGCCTGTATAAATACGCAATTCGACTCGAAACGGTCCTTTATATAATACAAATGAATAACTGCGCACCACTTTCTGCGAGAAATGCATCTCTGCGACGTGATCCTTCGTTAATTTGATTCGTACTTATGCGTTTCATTCGCGTTTCCTCGCGAAATTTTCACGCGTATCACACAAGATGCGTCGCAATTATTTAGAATAGCGTTTCGAAAAGGTAGTTATGGAAAAAGAATCGTGTAATTTTGTGAACAAACTCGGCTAAGCTCGAATGGGGAGGTAATCGAATCTGCGGGATTAATCGGGGACAATGAATTCAACGAATACGATATTTTTCATTATGATAAATTTAACTGTTGTTGTAAAATTATTGAAATAAATAGCGAGTATAGTCGTTACAACGAGCAATTGAAAAATGCGACAATTGTTAATTTTATTCCTAATATTACACGTTATTGCGTCCATTTATTACCCCAATTGATCTTAGTCCTCTAATGTTGGACAAGTTTTAGCCGCTTAATTTAAGCGCTCACGAAAGTGCAGATAGGACACGATTATTTTATAGAGAAAGAAAAATAGTTTCGATACACTTGAACACGAACAATGTTAAGTGCCATACCATACCATGTACTTGATACGCATCGAGATTTTTGTCTCCCAGCAAACGCATACATTTGGCGCGTACGCAAAAAATATACTATAAACCAATATATTGCGTATGTAATATGTTACACGTAATAAAGATAATACGCTTTATGATATATACACGTGTTTGTGGAGTTTGTGGTGTTTCTTACTTTTAATTTTCCTTCAAGAATAATTTATAGTCGATATAAAAACAGTAAATTATATTTTAAAATAGTATGAAATATACGTATATTATTTATTATTTATTATTTTTTATTATGCATTATTATTTATTATTTTTAAAAATTTCAACGTGTCTATAAAATAACTGGCGAATCTTCGAAAAGCGATTTCAATCTCTAATGTGTAAATTTTGACAATTAAATTTCTTGTCGAATTCTTCTGAGAAAAAAATCGATTTCAAGATTGATAAAGAAATTTGTGAAAAACACAGCGCGGAATAGAACACGAGATAAATCGCCAACTATGTAAACTTCTACTCTACTGTTTTTTATGGCAATCGAATACAGATCGAAATGAAAGGGAGAGAAAGAGACAGAGAAAGAAATACGCCTGTCGTCGAATCGAAAAAAGGCGCCGGCGAGGTCCTGTGAAAAACGGCGGCACCTCGCCCTCTCGTACTCAACTAGAAACGCTCACACACGCGGAAGAGGGCCCGCGAGGATGACGTATGGGGTCCACAGGGTAATTTTTTTCCCAAAGCGTTTTAGCGCGAGATGCGCCTCTACTTTTTCCGGCGCCGTAATCTATAGGCGCACTTAATACAGCCGCCTCGTTTTGAGTAACCTCGTCCCCCGCCCCTCGCCGCAGCCTTTCCTTCGCCTCCTTTCCGCTTCTCGTCTCTTCTTCTCGCTTCCTCCCCTCCCCCTTTTTCTCCCTTCGGACATACATTCGTTCAACGTATGACATCGTTCCGCTCGTTCCTCACGCTGTTCCCTCCTCTTCTCCCCTTTCTCTCTCTCTCTCGCGCTCTGCTAACGCCGACATCTCCCGGCTCCACTTAGCGAGACTGCATAATATATCACGTTGCTTTTACATCGCGCACCTATCTACGACCAGCGTGCAGCGCGCTTACGATGCGACGTTTATACAGCACGGCCACGTGTACCACATACATACACAGAAATGGTGCGGCACGCATTGCGTTTCGCTCGTGGCGTACCGCGATGCATCTCGCCACGACTAAATCGACTTGGCTACAATATAACGCGATTAACGAAAGAAATCTCACAAAAAAGAGTAACCTTCTTTCTTTTTAATGTTTAATACGATTTAGATCTCAGAAATGTTTCATCACGTTTCGAAAAGTTCAAAACACAAATTTTCACTACAGAAATTAAAATAAAAAATGATTAAACTCTTACCGGTACGATGTGCAGCAACAGAATTGTGGAATGTAACCAATCTGTAAAATACAATTGCAACCAGATTATAAAGAATGTCCAGAATAATAAATTAATTAATTAATTACATGTATATGTAAAATAATTATGTACAAGTAAAAATTTTGCACTTTTGACGCAGATATTTAAGATAAAAGTTAAATACAAAATTATAAAAAAGATTTTTTTAAAAATTAAATTTATATGAAATATAACAAGAATTTAATTATAAATATAATAAATTTAATATATAAATATAATGCAAATAATCTCTTATATATCTAAAGCATAAAATATTTGTGCCTGTTAAAATATTTTTCATGTATATAAAAATATTAATTATAAATACTTTAATATTTTATTTAATATTAAAATGATGAATAATATTAAATAAATTCTTAGAATAAAAGAAAAATATATTGTTGAAAAAAATACTATTGCATTTTTTATTCAGTACGTATTATGAAATGATGTAAAAAATAAATCGTGAAAAGATGGAGCATTTAATTTTACGCACACAGAAAAAAATAAATAATTTAAAATAAGTAAGTTGCTCACTTTCGATTGCTCTGTTGTCCAATGCCTCGCTTAGTTTGCTCCTTTTCTCTTGTTGATCCTGCTTCTTCATGGCACTCGACACTCATTCGCGAAAATACAGAATTAATTAAGATCGCGCACGCACTAATCAGCAATCGCGTGGCTTTACGGCACTTTCGATATTGATCAAAATATATTATCGTTGATCGATCGATGCGAACCTTGTTACGCGATGGGAAAACAATGCGAAAATAACAATTTCGCACAAAGCTACAATCAATATCCGAAAATTAAACGATTCATCACGGTGACGCTGTGTCTATCATTAACAAATAATACATATTTTCATTTTACAAAAATTAATTATTTATATATTATAATCTTTAAGAGAGAGGGAGGAGTGTTTGTGTATGTTATGTGAATAAAGATTAAAATTTCGTATTCTTTGATATGTATTCTGAAAATATTGTAGCTTTGTTAACTATTCACACGATAAATTTTCGAATAAATTATTAATTTTTTTTATTAATTGTTAATTATTTAAAATTTTTTTTTACGTTGTGGAAATTAATCAATCGCACGAGTTGATAATTTTATTTTTAACAAATAATCGCATTTAGGATTTCTCGTTATTTTCCATATTTAAGCGTCTTGAAAGTTAACGCGACGAAACACGTCTTTCTTATTTGAATGTCACCGCACGAATGATGACAAGGCCACGTTGTATAAACAATATGTACCACGTCATTACAATCGTACGTCACAAAAGCGAACGCCAAATATCATACAAATACTATAATAATATTATAATACATGATAATATTTTATATGAATCTTTCGATCTTACTGGTATCTTATTGTGTTTAATTTAAAAATAATTGGCAAATTAAATCGACAAGAAATTTAGAGTGAGAAAAGATGTATTTGAAATATACTTGTATATATTTAAAATATACTTGATTACAAAATTAAACAATTTCATCGTTAAAATATTTCTTATCAGTTGTATCGCGCAATAAAGTGATTATTTATAATTCTTATTTTTGCAGAATAAAAATTATAAACTATTATTTCATATCATACGGATTTTACAAGCGATGATTTTAATTAAATATTCGGATATATCTCTTCGAATGTATTTTTGACATTCCACTTTAAATTTTTCGCCGATATTATATTTCGCTCATTATTTTTAAAATACTGTAAGTAGAATGTACAATAGAATCGAGCAATTAAAGTAATAAAGAAGGAAATGATATATAAATAATTATATAGTATGTTGAATAATGATTAAAAACTAGATTAAAAATATAGTTAAATAAAATGATATATGATAAATAACAAAATGATATATGATAAATAACAAACCATTTATTAACAATAAATTAAAAATACGAGAAGCATTAAATATTCCGTAAATATTCTGTAAATTTATTTTACAATTCGTTAAATATTTCATGGCAACAACGAGAAATAATTTACATATACGCGATGTTAGTTCGACGTTCATTTTTGTAACGTATAGAGCGCTATTGTTGACATACCGTGTCCTTGTTGCCATTCGCGCGGCGACACTCAAGCGTGATGGTCACGATACGAGCCGCTCTCCGTAAACCTTCGTATTCTCTGAAAAACGCGATCATTCTTATAACTATTAGCATTAACGATGATTAATTCAACATTATTAATTGATTAACACGTGCGATAAACGTAAGAATATTATGGCAACAGCTATTTTATTTCGAATAATAAAAACACACGATGTTGACTGTTCATTAATAACGCGAGTATATCGTGCGATTTGTTGAAAATAAACTACATGTAATAAATTAAATTAAACGGCAATACGAGTCTAGAGTTGTTG